AATAAATAGAAAAGTACAAGCAGTTTAATTAATGTTTTTAAATAAAGCTTCTGTTTTTATATAATTGAAATATTAATTATCAAATGATATCAATTGAAAAGTAAATATGAAACAAAGGATATGTGACTATATCTTTATATATGTGTTATATCTCTATTAAAAGAGCCAAAATTTTATAGGAAATGTTACAGTAATGCATATTGTTCTTTATATTGATATGTATTAAACATAAATTACCAAAAATTATATTACATGTATATATTTCTAAATTAATAAACAGCCATAAAGGATTATATTAGTAAATACATCATACATTATTTTGTTGAATAATGTAAAACTATTTAAAATTTTTAATATAACTATGCATGTTACCTTTACACATCACTTATCTCGTATTAAAGATTATGTTAATACTTGTTTTAAGGTATTAATTTATTTTGTCTTAGATTACCCTTATTCATGGTATGAAGATATAACAAGTTCCTCACGGTTTTATGCACTTGCAGCTGTATATGGTGGAGTAATAATTGGACTTATTGTCGCAGAAATAAAGCCTTATGCCAAACTGAACACAGAAGATCGTGGTATTTTGTCTTCAAGTTTAGGAAATGATTGTTTAGTGGGTTATATTCTTAGCTTAGGTGTCCGTCGCGCATATAGAAGAAATGGGATTGCTTCATTATTATTGGAACAATTATTGGCACATGTTACTGCTCCAGAACGTTCTTCCGTAAAAGCAGTCTTCCTGCATGTGTTATCCAGCAATGCACCAGCTATTTTGTTCTATCAAAGATGTCACTTTCGATTACACAGTTTTCTACCATATTATTATTTAATTCATGGCAAATGTAAAGGTGGTTTTACATATGTCCTCTATGTCAATGGGGGACATGCACCATGGGGTATCTGGGATTGGTTGCGTCATATAGCCAGTGCAATGGCTAGTCTTGGACCATGCAGAGTACCACGTTGGATTTGGCAACGTCTTCTTTGGGCTACTACTATTCTTTCATATCATAGATGATACTTTTTGACAAATACCAATGTTAAACCAAATACTTGTTTTTCTCTTATTTAAAAAAAAATGCATATAACATACAGTCTGCCGTTTTGCAAATTATGCCTATTCAAGCAATAAAATTATTAGCTTCATAATTGTTTTTACAGTTTTATAAATAAAATTGTTACAAAAAATAATTTATTGCTAAAATGACAATACATAAATTAACAAGTACCAATTTGTACTCAATTGAGAGTAATGTAATTGAAGAATTTTATTGTATTTAGTCCTTGAAAAGTTATAATATTTTGTAATTCTTTCACCATGGATTATATTTTTAAATAATTCGATAGTCTAATATCTAAGATAAGTACTATAAATATTAAGAGTAAAGCATTTAACTGCCAGAGCATTTGATCAGTTCAAAATATTTGTATTTGAAAAATCTTTTGTTGAATGCAGTATTTACATGTTAAAGAGATGTATATTATGTCCAATATAAAATATACATTAAACATTTAGAGACAAAATGTTGCAAAGTAAAATGAAACATTGGTGACGGGTTAGAATTTTTACAAATTTTGAAAACATTCTCACTAATTGAACTCTTCCCTTGCAATCTGCTATGATTGATTAAATATGCTGATATGTACTGTTGTATTATATTGTATTGCTAACTGATAAGCAATATGTAACTTTTAAATCTACAAGCAATGGTTTGATTGAGCTTATTATACAGATAGCTTTCCTTGACATTTGTTTTATCAATTACCATGTTTTCTTATTTTAAATGAGTTTAACCCTAACTAGGTTTTTAATTAGGTATTTTCTAGTAGAAAAGAATACTTTTAAATACATTTTATTTCATTTTTTTAATGGATGTCATATCTGTGAAATATTCATTTCTAGTTTGTTACATATGTTTTGAAATCTTAATAACACCAGAAAAATATACTATGTTTCTCGCATTCTATCTATTTTGTCTTCTATTTAAGGCTTTTGTTAAATACCTATGATGTGACTTTACTATTTATCTGATTCTTGAAAATAGTGACATTTTTTTTTTTTGTTTCTTATATTAAAATTTTGTTTATTTTCAGTTCACCAAATTGCTGATAATTTTCCTTGCTTCTTAAATTTCACATATCTTATTCATTACTGCTCTATTATTAGAAAGTGTTTTCTTTCAATTAAGAGTACGGACTTCTGGGGCCATAATACCTGTCACCAGTTCAAGCATCATCAGAAGCCTGTTCAAACTCTTCAATCTCATTATCACTGATACTAATTGAAAGTGTAATACTGATCATGATGGTAGTTAATACATAGTTGGTGCTGAGACTGAGACTGTTATTCTCACTCAGCTTTTTCATTACATGTGGAAGAGAGCAACTATCTTTTGCAATGCTTCAATGAAGTATTCATTTCCCACATAGGTAATATTGTTCTTTAATATGAGGAGTTATGTGACGTCCTTGCCGGACATCTTCCGTTCCCCTTTAAAGATTATTGTTAGTCCTTGAAATGTGTTAGAATTGATTAGTTTTTATGGTTTATAATTAAGATTTAATGTGTTGAAACTAAAGTTTTCTGCGTAGATATATACAAATTTAAACGAAATTCAGTTGCAGAATTTATCAAAGCAATTCAATATTCAATATTTACTCTTGCAAGAATTCATCTTAAACCTAAAAGTATAGCTGAGAAACTGCTATTCTCACAAGTAATTCACAATATTAGATTAATGAAACAAATTAGTTACAATGTACTGAATGTTTTATTTCACTTAAAAATGTTAAATTTTTTATTTTAGTAAAGATATATTAATTTATATCACACATAACATTGGAAAGTATTAACTTGTAATAATATATAACTCTAAATATTTTTTAGTAAGACAATTTTAATTTTCCTCGTGATTTGTAGTAATTTACCATTAAATTATATCTTATTTTGAATTTTGCACATTGTGGAGTACACAAAATTTATTTCTTTTATTTAAAATTTTAATTTTGTGTTTTATGAATGACAAAAATGTATGTACATAATTTGATTTAATTATTACACAATGATTATAAATATGTTCCAGCCTAACATAAATAGACATTTATGACAGTTTCTTCTACATGTGTTATAATAGCCATACAGTTGTTTCAATCTTGTACTCATTTTTGGAAGAGGGAGTGCTTTATGATTAAATACAAATATTTCAAATTATAACATAAATAATTTATAGCAAAATGGACTAAATGGATTTAATATCCACTAAAAGATAATGATTATCAAATATTTAATGAAACTTTGTATAATTAAACTTTATAGTTGCAAAACATATAAAAAATATTGTTAAATATTAAGTAATGTCAAATAGTATACATGGTACATTTTATATCGCGTCAAATTATAACTATATATGAATTTCTACGAAGAAACTGAAGTTAAAGGATTACGCAGAAAAGTTAGACCAAAGCTTTACAATATAAAGTCTTAAGGGAGATTTAGTTTGAATGGATATTATATAGAAAGTACAGTATTGTCCATGGTGATAGAATATTTTGAATTGCTTCTTGTTTGGGGCTATGTATGTCTTTTTTAATTGTAAAAATAATCTAACATCTTGTTTGTATTTCCTCTCTATGGATTATTTAAAAGTGGTAGCATTGTTTACATTTACATGTTCATATAAAAGAAGCTTTTATATTAAAGATATATATGAATGCGAGTTATGAATGTGTGTGTGCATGTGCGCGTGTGTGTACTATTTATACATATTGTACATATATATTAAATGTATCAGAATAGTTGTACATACTACTGTATTGACTTTGTTTGTAATAAATTGACATGTTACAAATGTTATTTGTTATTTATCACTATTATAAAATAAATAAAACCGTTTTAATAAAAATTTGTTGTGCTAATAGTACTTTGAATTGCGTTAGAAATATATCAGTTAATTTGTTACGGTTAGATGGTTAATATATACCTTAATGTAATTTTCAACATTTATAATTAATAAAAAATGAACACAAGTTCCGTTGTATTATGTTAAATATTGTAATTACATATGTTGTAGATAATATGTTTGTTGTTTAGGAATATACATTGCATATTAATTTGTTATCTGAAAAAGCAGTACTATATATTAAAGTGTAGGAAAAAGTACAATATATTGAAAGTATACAATTTTTATTTAATCAGTACTAGGAATAAAAAGAAAATAAATATTTCTGTTTATAGTTTCATAGATAGCGGTAGATTAATAAAATACGCAGTTTACACTATTATTATCAATTACCCTATTATCAAATATTAGTTAAAGTACATATTTATAGAGTATTTAATTGAATATTATGCGCATTTTTTATTTTTTGTCCACTGTTCTGAAATACCGATTGTGTAAAAAATCAGAGGTATTGTCATGCCCTCTACGATAATAGAGCGGTGAGTTTAGGAATGATATACAACTCAATCATTAAAAGATAGTAAAGTCGACAGGAAACCTTTGTTAAATTCGTATGTAAAGATAGTAGATAGTAAAATAAAGATTCTGGTTTATTTTCAAGTACTTTAATTATAAAATAATTAGTGTTTCCCGGCAAATAGCAATTTAGATGGTCGTTTATAATTATTGGAAGTCTTAAATAAAATTGTTGCATGCTTTACCTTAATAAAACAGCTTAATATATGAATTTTGCATTAAATTATCCATTGCATTCAGTGAATTACTTAGCAATTGGTTATAATTTTTATAAAAAAATGGAATAATTAATGTTCTTTTCGTACGAATTGCAGAGGGACCTTTCAGGACACCATAGAAATCAAGGAAAGGACTTGAACATCAGGAAAAATGAAGAAATGTAATTATTTATCAAAGAAACAATTAAATTTCCTAACGATATATTGTAACCATTTATAAAAATAAAAATACATTAAGTGTTTCGTTTATCCTGTACCTTGTCTGTGATTCTAAGTAATTGAATCTTCATAATTTTATTATTTTTAAAAATTTGTTCTTTATTTCAATGTGTAGTAGGTAATTTGAATGATTAATTTTTGTGTAATTCTTATTGGAAGATGGTAATGTACCATCAGTATTCGTGCTTACCACGAAAGGAATAGGTGTAGACAAGGATAGCATTACAGTGATGAGTTAGACAAGGAAGGGAATAGGGGTAGACAAAGATAGCAATAGTATCGCGTGTTAGACAAGGAAAGTAATATGGATAGACAAGGACAGAAAAAAAAGTGACGACCGAGGCTAATGCCATCTCGCATTTGGCTTCGCGAACTAACGACTCGTTAATAGGATAACAGAATATAAAGAGAGGTATCAGACAAGGAAAGCACTAGTGTGCGACAAGGACAGAGAGAGAATGCTTCCTATTGGCTGACGGGCATCCAAGTTCCACCAATCACGGACTAATCAAGTCGGTCGGTTGAAAAATCATTAATAACTTATTAATTACGATGATTCTGTGAACTTTTAGAATTGAAGAATGAAGAGGGAACCTTCAGCAACTTTCCCATATAGTTTTTGATGCTCTAAACCCTTTCAATAATTAGTTATTAACAATTTTAGTACGTGATGTCGGGAACGATACCGCATACCGTCAAGTATCTTTGCAGTTTTTCAATAATTTCGTAGCTTTTTACTAAATTCTCGTGCAAAAAACTATACGCGTCTGAAAGGCAACACCTTTAGCTACATTCTTCTATAAATTTCATTAACATATTCGGTTTAGTTTAGGAGTTATAAAACATTATAGAGGACAGTCTCCTATTCGTCGTACTCGTATATAGTGAACGGTTATAAACAATTGCTAATATCTAATAAACCATACAACTTAGAGCAGCCAAACTAATTGTGGAATACAGATAAAAGTCCATTCTGCATTCTACATACTTAAAAGTGAATAATTTATCACGCATTTTCGTTGAAATAACGAAAATGTGTTATGGTTGAATGCGTCGAGCTTCATACTCACCCAAATAATATTTAATAACTATCAAACCACAAGAGGTATGTTAATAAAAATTATATAAGAATATAGCTAAAGGAGTCCTCTTTCGAACGCATACAGTTAGTTGTATGAAAAGTTTGCAGAAAGCTATGAAATTACTGAAAAACCGTAAAGGTATTACACCCGTTTACACCCATCGCATTCAAACATAATATATTTTCGTTATTTCAACGGAAATGCGTTATAAACTATGCACTTTTGAGCATGTAAAATGTAGAATGAACCTTAATCTACATTCTGCAGTTAGTTTGGTAGCCGTAAGTTGTGTGGTTTATAAGATATTAGCAATTGTTTATAGCAGTTCACTGTATACGAGAACGACGAATAGGAGACTGTCCCATATAATGTTTGATAACTCGTAAATTAAACCGACTATGTTAATGAAACTTATAGAAGAATGTAGCTAAAGGTGTTTCCTTTCAGACGCGTATAGTTATTTGCCTACGAATTTAGTACAAAGCTACGAAATTATTCAAAAAACCGGAAAGGCACTTGACAGCATGCGGTATCGTTCCCGACATCACGTACTAGAATTGTTAATAACTAATTATTGAAGAGGTCTAGCGCACTAAAAACTATATGTGAAAGTTTCTAAAGATCGACCCTTCATTCTTCAATCCTAAAAGTTCACAATTCATAGATAGATACATAGATATTCGCAATTGTTTATAACAGTTGACTATGCTTGAGTACGACGGATAGGAGACTGTCCCCTGTAATGTTTAATAACTCCTAAACTAAACAGAATACGTTAATGAAACTTTTAGAAGAATATAGCTGAAGGTGTTGCCTTTCAGACGCGTATAGTTTTTTGCACGAGAATTTAGTAAAAAGCTACGAAATTATTGAAAAACTGCAAAGATACTTGACGGTATGCGGTATCGTTCCCGACATCACGTACTAAAATTGTTAATAACTAATTATTGAAAGGGTTTAGAGCATCAAAAACTATATGGGAAAGTTGCTGAAGGTTCCCTCTTCATTCTTCAATTCTAAAAGGTCACAGAATCATCGTAATTAATGAGTTATTAATGATTTTTCACGGACCGACTTGGTTTAGCCCGTGGTTGGTCGAGCTTGGGTGCCCTCAGCCAATAGGAAGCGTTCTCTCTCTGTCCTTGTCGCACACTAGTGCTTTCCTTGTCTGATACCTCTGTTTATATTCTGTTATCCTATTAACGAGTCGTTAATTCCCGAAGCCAAACGCGAGATGACGTCAGTCACGCCCCCAACTTTTTTTCTGTCCTTGTCTATCCCTATTGCTTTCCTTGTCTAACACATGGTACTATTGCTATCCTTGTCTACTGTTATTCCTTTCCTTGTTATCCCTATCATATTTAAATAATCAATTCTTCATGGATTTAACAATACTAATAATGTAGATATTAAAATTAAGTTTCTATTTCTTTTTGAAGTACTTTAATTGTAGAATAGTTAGTATTTCGTGTTAAATAACAGATTAGATGGTAATTTATAATTATTGGGAGTATTAAATGAATTTGTAGTGTAGTGTACAAAATGTATTTCCCAAAATGTGGAAAAGAAATGCATTAGGTTAAAGTCAATCCTGTACCTCGTCTGTGGTAGTAACTATATGAATTACAAATAGATTGTATACATAGAGGGGTTATTTATAGAGGTGGAGAAATATGTTGGGAATGTATAATGACGGTTTGTTTGCGCGGAGCCTTTGTTCTCGCGTGAGTTGAGGTTGCAAATTGATCGATGTGTAGGACACGGTTGCAGTAGCAGGAAAAGAACTTTTGTATCGTTGAATGGTGATTTTTAGGTAGCGAGATACTTTTATTTCACTGTTCATCTTTGAAACTTGAATGCACACATTGTTGCAGTCTCTATTCTCGAATGCAACATCGATGGAAGCACTATTTCGAATGCAAAACATTGTTTTACGCGTTACTTTTGAATGCAACATTGCTTAAAGCGTTATATGTGATCGCAAACATTGTTAGAATCTCTATTTCTGATTGCAACATTATTAGAAGCGTTATTTCGAACGCAAACGATATTACAAGCACTATGCTTGAATGTAACATTGTTACAAGCGTCATTTTCGCTTGTAACATCGTTAACTCGTATTATTTTCGAATGCACATTGTGGCAAACGTGTTATCGAGTTTGCAACATTGTTGCCGCAAGTCGCTCCCGAAAATTGCACATTGTTGCAAACGCGTTACCGGGCTTGCAACTTTGTTGCCACGAAAAATTGCACATTGTTGCACGACGCACCGTTTTGCAACATTGTGCATTTTTCGGGAGCGACTCCCGACAACAAAGTTGCAAGCGCGGTTCGCTCTTTTGCAACTTTGTTACAGCGAGCCGCTCCCGAAATTTGCACATTGTTGCAACCGCGCTATCGGATTTGCAACATTGTTGCCGCAAGTCTCTCCCGAAAATTACACATTGTTGCAAACGCGTTACCGGGCTTGCAACTTTGTTGCCACGAAAAATTGCACATTGTTGCACGACGCACCGTTTTGCAACATTGTGCATTTTTCGGGAGCGACTCCCGACAACAAAGTTGCAAGCGCGGTTCGCTCTTTTGCAACTTTGTTACAGGGAGCCGCTCCCGAAATTTGCACATTGTTGCAACCGCGCTATCGGATTTGCAACTTTGTTGCCGCAAGTCGCTCCCGAAAATTGCACATTGTTGCAAAACGGCGCGTCGTGCAACAATGTGCAAATTTCGTGGCAACAAAGTTGAAAGCCCGAGAACGCGTTTGCAACATTGTGCATTTTTTGGGAGCAGCTCTCGGCAACAAAGTTGCAAATCCGATAGCGCGGTTGCAACAATGTGCAAATTTCGGGGGCGGCTCCCTGTAACAAAGTTGCAAAAGAGCGAACCGCGCTTGCAACTTTGTTGTCGGGAGTCGCTCCAGAAAAATGCACAATGTTGCAAAACGGCGCGTCGTGCAACAATGTGCAAATTTCGTGGCAACAAAGTTGCAAGCCCGAGAACGCGTTTGCAACATTGTGCATTTTTTGGGAGCAGCTCTCGGCAACAAAGTTGCAAATCCGATAGCGCGGTTGCAACAATGTGCAAATTTCGGGGGCGGCTCCCTGTAACAAAGTTGCAAAAGAGCGAACCGCGCTTGCAACTTTGTTGTCGGGAGTCGCTCCAGAAAAATGCACAATGTTGCAAAACGGCGCGTCGTGCAACAATGTGCAAATTTCGTGGCAACAAAGTTGCAAGCCCGAGAACGCGTTTGCAACATTGTGCATTTTTTGGGAGCAGCTCTCGGCAACAAAGTTGCAAACCCGACAGCCCGCTTGCAACATTGTGCCTTTTCGGGAGCAACTCCCAGCAATAAAGTTGCAAACCCGAAAACGCGTTGCAACATTGTTGCGCGATGTTGTTATCTGAAACTGCACATCGTTGCACGACGCGCCTCTTTGCAACATTGTGGCTCCTCGGGCTCTCAAAAAATGTTCATTGTTGCAAACACGATTTCTCGTTTTTGCAACTCTGTGAAACGCGTTGTTTTTGAAACGCACGTATTTTCATTTTTAACGCTGCACTTATCAGATTTTTTGGTTGCAAATCCTACGTGCAAAAAATCATAAACGCATAAAGCTGTCGAAAAATGTAAATGTGAAACATTGCGTCTCACCGAGATTCAAAGGGAATCTCCTGATTCTTACTATGCACTCAGGTTGCTCGAACGTCACGTGGTGACGTAGTTATTGGCGGAAAGAGCCGAACAGGCTTCGCACACGGACAGAACTACCGCTACACTTGTGTGAGGGCACGAGGACGGTATAGTCTCGGAGCGACGGCAGGTCATAGTGGGGGTAACTGCTTTGGCCAACAAAAAAATGCATTCGGTATTAGGCCTGTCCTGTACATACTCTGTGTTGATAGGAAGTCTCTAAAAAGGGAGGTTTATTTTATACCACGCCTGTGATATAACTTAACGTAACGCAAATTAACGTTAATGACACTTTTAATTATAAATATGCAGAGTTAAATAATGTCAAGTATGGTTCTATGATTTGATGCAATATTAACCTAATGCTTCAATTATCGTAATAGACAATTTCGAATAATTTGATGTTTTGAAATTCATGATTTTTTTTGCAAACTAGAAAATATGAATTTATTGCCAATAGCACACGAAGAATTTAGCCAAGTTGAATATTGGAATACGTTTTTTAAGAAACGTGGTGAAAAAGTTTTTGAATGGTATGTCTTGTTTATGTTTATAAATTATTGTCAATCATTTACTTTGTTATATATGTTTGTTTGTTTTTCATTCAGGTATGGAGAATATCCAGAATTATGTCATATACTTCATAAATACATATTAGTAAAAGATAACATTTTAATTGTTGGTTGTGGTAATTCTACTGTTAGTATGTGTTTGTATGATGCTGGTTATAGGTATGAGATTTTAGATTAATTCAATTTTGTTTTAAAATTTTTCGAATTATCTTTATTTCTTTGTTTATTCTTTATTACAGAAATATTACTAATATTGATGTATCACACATTGTTATCAAACAAATGCGTGATATTAATGCATCTGTAAGATCAGATTTGGTTTATGAACAAATGGATGCTACACAAATGACATATTCTGATGATATGTTTAGCGTTATTTTAGATAAAGGTACTTTAGATGCTCTTATGCCTGATACTAAGGATGGAACAAAATCTACTATTAACAAATATTTTAAGGTATACCATATGTATTATACAACGAATGAATAATTTTTTCACTGTGTCTGTAATGTGTATGTTACTTTTATATTATTAACAGGAAGTATATTGTAATATGTTTCTTTTTATTCTATGTAGGAAATCACAAGAGTTCTGCGTAATGGTGGTAGATACATATGTATCTCTTTACTGCAGGAACACATTTTGAAGGAACTTGTATCTTATTTTCCAAGTAATGGATTTATGTTTCGTATAGTACGTTGTTACGATGCAGAAGCAAAAACACAAATGGAAGAAGGAAGCTCAATCCCTGTGTTTGTAGTGATTGCCACAAAGTTCATGAACTTATCACAAACTGTAAGTTTTAAGGTATTACAAGTAACATGACACTTATTACGAATTAATGAGTCAAAATATAGTGACAAAATTATTATTTAACTAGATAAAGTTTCGATTTAATTAATGGTACTTTATTACTATACATTGTAATAATCAAATTTCTATCTAAAATAATACTATACATCTAAAATTAATAATTTATACAATTAAAATAGATTTTGGAGGTAGTGTTAACTGATGGTCCTCCAAAGCGATTGTCATCAACAGATGATATAATATCAGTTATATTGTCAGTACAGCAGTCCACATTAATTTGTAATAGTCTGCAAAAACGTAGTGTGGCTGATATTGGAGAAATCTCGTTAGATTTGCATCGTCCCGGTGATAAGTATCCACGTTATACGATCTATGTTTTAGATCAACCTAGGATACGTGGAACAAAAAGTTATGCAGCTTTTATAGTGCCACAAGGAAAGTAAGTTGTTGTTGCTTTAAGTAAATTAAAAAAAAAATATAAAAGTAACGAAGTTTACGTTTTATTTTCTATTAGGGAAACAGATTGGTTATTCAGTACAAAAGAAGGAAGGCAGCAAGTTCTTAAGAGCGCCCAACGAGATAGACTAGCAATTGTCACATTATGTAGAGAACACAAATTTGAAAGTTGGGATGCTACCAAAAATGAACTTGAAGATTGTATTTTAAATTTGGCCCCAAAAGGTTTATCCAGCAAAAGTGATATTCCATTTTTATCATTAGGTTCAGATGTAGGGGTCAGAAGAACATGTTATGAAGGAAAAAGTGATTTGAGTGGTCCTTTTGTTGTTGAAGAGATTGAAAGAGATGGTACTGAATTCAGAAGATTAATTTTTTTAAATAATCCTTATGTTGTCCAAAGTGAAGCTCGTCTTAATGGTAATATATTATAAGTACCGTTGATATTTAATTATTTTCATAATACTTTTATTTCACACGTGATTCTTTCAGTTAAATCTAGACGAGGTAAAATAAAAAAAATTATTGATCCTGGATTTTTAGCATGCGATCATCATTTTTATATGAGTATCGGTGTTAGTAGCGCTATAAGTTCTAAAGAATGTGACGAAATAACGATCATTGGTTTAGGTGGAGGAAGTTTATGCACATTTCTGTACAATTGTTTTCCTAAGGTATGCGCACAATACTTCGTTGTAATTTAACGATATTACGTGTATAATTAAAAATATATGCTTGTATTCTTCTAGCTAAAAATTGTCGCAGTCGAAATTGACGAGACAATGTTAAAAGTTGCTACTGACTATTTTGGTCTCGTTCTTGATAACAGAATGAAAGTTGAAATCGCAGACGGAATTCAGTTCATTAAAGAAAGTGCAGCGAATGGGAAGAAATATAAAGCGATACTTTTCGATGTAGACAGTAAAGACACTACAGTTGGAATAAGTTGTCCACCTAAACAATTTTTAGAAATGTCTCTTATAAAATCGATTGCAGAATGTTTAACGCACGATGGCCTTTATATATTAAACTTAGTTAGTAGGGATCAAAGTATAAAGAAGAAAGTGAAAAGCGATCTGAGGTCCGTATTTAAGTCTATGGCGTGTTATTCCGTGCAAGATGAAGTAAACGAAGTTATAATATGTTCTATTAACGAAAATGATAGCACACAATGGAAGCATAAATTACAGACGGCTGCTTTGAGTTTGAAGGAACAAGTGTCTACTAGAAGGTTATCGAGTAATGCAGATGTGTTTGATTTGTCGTCCTTCATGGAAAATCTGTGTATTGAATCTTGAATGAAAAGTTTATATGTAATTATTTGTATATTTTGTATATTCAAATTTTTGTAAGCCATAGAATAAAAATGAAATTAACATGTACTGTTGTATCGTCGTATGATTTTTGTCGAACCTCCTATAGAAACATGTGATATTCTTGTTTGATCATTTCTTTTCTATACATGTTATTACTATAACGATCTTGTGACCAGTAATGCTTTTAATTTTACCTATTTCGTTACGATAATTTTGAAGCAACAAAAAATCAAAGAGTTTGTCAAGTCTTTATAAATTCGGCTTTCATATTCAGGATTTTCTAGTGTCCTTACAGACAAATATCAAAATGAAGAAATAAACGACTCCCATTTAAGTATCCTACTCATTTCTATCTTGTGAACTGCTACAGTACTTACGTACATGCAGGATATTTAAATGTCAAAGCATAGAAAACTAAACGAGCGTGCACGAATATAAATAATGAAAAACTGACTCGATAAACTATTCACGAAGTAAGAAGAATATGAAATATCGTGTAAATTACGTCCTTAAAATTTTTCTCGGCAGTTATTATCAAATCCATCGTCGTTAAGTATTACTTCATTGCATCAAACATACATGCTTTTTACATTTCCCACTTTCCCTCGCATATTTGCTTTGATTTGAAAACTTAGGCAATTGCTGTAGATTCTCATAGGTTCGCGTTGATAACAATAAAACCGTCACGCAAGAATGGTATTCTAAGCAGAGTAAATAACAGCGCAACTCTTGATATAAGATACATTTGATTAAAAATCAAAAAGCGAAAAATGCAAATTTAGCTCGCGATATTCCTATTCTGTAGCGATTGCGTGCTACTAGACTAACGCGAATCGCGATTAACACGAACATTAGTATTAAAGTACTGTGGAAAATTTAATAAAAAAAGAAAAGGAAGCTCGTTGCAGAAGAAGAATACAGTAGAAATCAAGGTACGCGCGTGAAAAATCTGTAAAATATTATACGTTAATAGACCCGATGATTTATCGTGCGACGAAGAAATAATTAGGTGTTTCATAGTTACACCAAGTGTATAACTTAACGTAAACGAGACTATTGAAGAACTTAAACAGCAGCCGCCTCGAGCGTCCACGCTTGTCGGAATAAATTAACAGAATAAAAGTCAACGATACCATTGACGATACCATTGAGCCCTTATGTTCTTGCTATTTATGCACGTTTAAGGACTTTAACAACCGACCAAAATGAGGCATTGTTGAATAACCGTGAAAGTGAAGTTTCTTAGTCAAATTCTTCTTCTTGGTATCCTCGAAAAGGGGCTGGCTTTGAATAAGTTCGACTAATAAACTTAGAAGTGAAAATCAAAGAATTACGACGCAGCATTTTCCAATGCAGAGGATCTACATAGTCTGTCTGTGTAAGTATAATAAATAACGAGGAAAGTTCACGAATGGATGTTAAAATTTTGTCGATTTTAATAACGTACCCTTTTTCTAATCATTTTGCCTTGGAGGTTATGTCTTGTTTGAGACCAAACAAGATTCGTCCGATGCATTTATTTCCATTTTCAAAAAGTAGGCGAATTATTCTGTACGCTCGTATTTAAAAAAGTGCTGTAAAAAAATTTCAAACATTCGAGATAAATTTTTTTATTCGAAACACACCTAATTGGTTAAATTTGACATTTCAGCTCAACGTTCTGTTACACCATCGAATATTTTCCTTCTTAGTCCTTAGTTTTATCTGTATTTACAACGAGTCACCCACTTTCATCATTACTCACACTAGACTCTTCACTTTCCAACTCTCCTGCATAGACACAACCCAAAGTCCATCTTTCCAGAACCCTCAAATAGCCCTATTTTCTCCATTTCCGCGTTCATTCTCTGTTTTACCACGCGTACGTTACGTAACGTCAAAATCTCTGTCGAATAAAGCTCTGTTTCTACGCAACGACGATTTTTAAGTGTTTTAATTCAGCGATACCCCAATATCTGCTCCTAGTTTCGAGGAATTGGAGCAAACCGGGCATCACAGTTCGAAATGGTGATATTAACGTGAAATAGTATTTCTTCAAATGGAAGGAAAATAAAGAAGAGGATCGTATCTTCTTTTATCTTCTAAAATATTCAGAAAGCTTTGAAAGGAACAATTGGGAGACAGAAATGATTTTGCGAGGAAAAGAAAGCTTAGGATAATGTAGCGTGCGTAGAGGACGAATAGCAGGTGGCATTGCTTTTGGGACGGTGAAAAAATGTGCGACGACGAACTTTCACCGGTTAATGAGACGTTAATGCAACGGATGGTACAGTCGTACTTAACGAGAGCAAAATGTGACTGGCGCGGTCGGCAATCTAAGTTAGAATTATTTATCAATTAAGATTCTTTGATTATACCTTCGAGCCATTTATCGATATTTATTTCGAACACTTGCATGCTTGGACAAAGAGTTCATTTTGCAAATTTCGTTAATTTTTTTTACGTAAACTTCAAAGATACTTCTATTAAAAATTTTACTTTTTATTCGATACATAAATTTTGTTTTTTAAAATTTGTAACCAGAATTTAACACAATTTTTTCTACGATTTTCTTTAGTTAAGTATTATTGTTAACATAAGATAAGAAATTTTTCATGAAAATTTTAGCGTAACTATTTTTCTTACTTCCTCACATTTCCTTCGAAGCGACTGTGTTACTCTTTTTGGAGCACAAGTGAAATTGAAACGAAGAGAAGTCGAAGCGTGTTGAAAAGGGACGAGATGAATCTTTCCATAATGCCTCGTAATTCATTTGCGAGAAAGGCAAAGAGTATTTGGTCGTCTTTCTCCATAAGGAACTTGCAAATGTGTGCGTATTCCATGAAAATTCTCTCGTAAAGGAATCAGTTTCTCGGTAGAACATTCGTTTAAAGCGTTTGATACGCTACCGAGAAATTCCCTCAAGAGAAGTACTTGCATAGCAGTTCAAAAGACAGAAATGAGTCGATACTTAAATGGGAGTAATTTATTTCTTCATTTCGATATTTGCCTGTAAGGATCCTAAAAAAGTGTCTAAAAATTACACCTACGTCGAAAGAAAAAAAAATAGGAAATTCCTATCCGAAGAAAATCCTATCCTTCTTAAAAAAGTAACAAGTTTAGCAAATGTGCCAAATTTCGTGATTAAGAACTGCTCCATTCGTCTTCTTCTCGTGTCTCTATAACTGTATCACTTAGTTTTCACGACTTATCAACAAATTTACTTCTCCTTTATTTGCAATTATTCGAAGTTACTCTGGTGTAAATATATTTAAATATACAGCTGTTCTCGGAAGATAGTAGTTGAAAAAAGAAGAAAATTGTACGAACAGCGAAATGCATCTTTTCTGTTACGAAGCGAAATCCGCGAGCAAGTATCACAAATACGGGAGCTGGGGAGGTAAGAGAAGCGCATAAACCTCAGTTATGGTACGGAATAAGCTCGAGTATAGTCCTGGTATGGTCAAGACTGGGAAAACTACGAATTTCGCGGGAACAGACTTCGTTGCAATTACAAAGATCGTTGAATTCCTCGGAGAAGACGTAACTGAAGCAGGAGTGCGCCAAACCGGTGCATTGATTTTCAATCCTGATCTAATGTCTTCCACGAATTTCCTCGTAAACTGTGTTTCAAGCCTTGCTACGTTCGGTAATTGAAACTAATTTACGCCATTTTGTACTACCTTCGAGGATTTTCTTCGTTTGCTGTACGTACGAATATTAATTTTTTTCTGTTTTTTTTTTTATCTAGTAGAACAGGTGGTTTCTTAATTATCTTCTCTATCTATGGTTCTAGAAGAAAATTTTTATTTGTAATTTTGTCTGTTTGTTAAGAAATTTTACATTCAAATTTTTTTCTGACGGTCACCCATCTTTTATCGGACCGCGACCTCGGGTGCTGCACTTGAAGATCGTCGAGGATCTCAGGTTACCACCTACCCATTAGGATCTCCTTACTTGTAATTTAAAGAGGAAAGTTATTGTAAATTTAAAAAATCTATCGAAGTCTTCGAATTGCGTATAAAAAGTAATTAAACTCTGTCCTTTTCTATTGTTTTCGTAAATCTAAGTGCCATTTACAAGAAAAATGCTGGACATTAATATCGTGGACACCTTTGTACATCTTTATTGATATACAAGACACTAAGAAGCCAAAATGGTTAACTCCACATTTTGAAATTCTCCCAATTTTAGTATCAAAGCACACGCTTGGTGCTTAACTCTTCGTAAATAAAACAAATTTAATAAATGTAATTTCACGGAGTTAGTCACTTTGGCTTAACTGAGTGGCTCATGCGATACTAACTTTGGCGAAGAAATGTAATTCAAATTACACAATACTTTCTGTACGAACCAAATAGGTGTTCCGAGACTTACGAACGACGCCGGTTTTTCCCCACTTTCCTCTATTATAAAAAGAGAAAGAATGTATTCGATATTAAACAAGGGCAACCTTATTTCGTATCACACACATAAATCTTCCTCTCCGAGAAATTCGGAAAAGTAGGAAATTATTCCTCGCGAGGGACACTATTTATACGATTTTCTGTTAGCCGTGAAGAAAAATCAATTGGAACACGATATCAGACAATATTACATTAACACAACAAAAAACCACGTTCGAAACCCTCGATTTTCACCCTAATACGCTCATATTGTGTGGATTTCTGTTACAACTCATTGGTCGTTTATACATTTCAGGGTCTTCTCGAGCTGCGTGTATTCTTGAGAAATGCACCTTGAAATCGATGTCAAGCTAGCAGGGTTCAGGAATTCCTTGTATGCTAATTGAGCCTCTTCAGAAAGTGAAATTCGGTCGATTCACCGGAACGTACTCTGTTGGGTGAACGATATTTAGCGTTTTACTAATGGTTCGACGACTTCCAAACGAACCGAGTCACCACGATAATTTGCATGCAAGATTTCGTCCGTACGTATTTCTTTTAACAAAAGTTACACAATGTTTTACGGAGCGACTTTAATTATCTGGTATTTCAGAAATA